CATTCTAGCCCGGGCAATAAAGCAACACCCCTGTTCTCTCTCCCTCTTCCTCTTTCTTCCTTTCCTTTATTCTTTTTTTTCTTTTCTTTTTCTTTGTTTTTTTTATTCCTTTCTTTCTTCCTCTAAAAAAAATAGAAATAAAAATAAAATAAAGTTTTTTAGTTTTTTTCCCATTTCTCAAACAAAAAGGATAAATTTCTAACTTTTAAAAGTCATAAGTATTTATATTTATCATTGTTGTACTATTTGCAAAGCCATTCTAGAGATTTAAAAAAAAAAAAAAAAAGTAAAAGAAAAAAAGTCATTAGCTAAATTGGTTAAGGGGATTTCAGAGCCAAAGCCAACTGGCTCTGAGAGACCCAAGTTCCAACATAAAAATAGGATCCTTAACTTCGAAAGAACTGAGTCTGCTTGGCTTTAGGGTACCCCTGTGTTAGTGGTTCTTTCCCTCCCATGCACAGCTATTGGTTTCCTATTTGTTATGTTTTTGTGTCCTGAGAACTTGGTCAACCAACCAAAGGTTGAGAGTTGCCAAGAATATGGCTAGACAGAAATGTGGGTTGCACCCTGTTTGTGACTAGCGTACTGACTGTTATATCTAAATCTTCCTTTCTTTTCGCTGTCTTTAGTACTCTGGATTTTGATCTAGAAAGATTAATAAGAAACATAATGGACACCCCAAGTTCTAACGCATGCAAATATAGTCCCCCTTTAGGGACTCTAGCCAGCTATATGTTCAAATATTATGGGTCATTCTTGTGGACATTTTTAAACCTATGGGCGGATTATACCAAGGGCTTGGCCAGGCGTGGTAGCTTATGCCTGTAATCCCAGCGCTGTGGGAGGCCGAGGTGTGTGGATCACTTGAGGTCAGGAGTTTGAGAGCAGCTTGACCAACATGGTGAAACGCTGTCTCTAATAAAAATACAAAATTAGCCAGGCATGGCGGCACACACCTGTAATCCCAGCTACTTGGGAGGCTGAGGCAGGAGGATCACTTGAACCCAGGAGTCAGAGGTCCCAGTGACCCGAAATCATACCATTGCACTCCAGCCTGGGCAACAAGAGTGAAACTCCTTCACACACACACACACACACTCAAAAACCAAAAAAAGATTAAACCAAGGACCATTTGGAGCTCCAGTGGCCTTTTTGTGGACTGTTCGAACCTCCCAAGTGTGTTGTTTGTTTTTGTTTTGAGAGGGACTCTTGCCCTGTCACCCAGGCTGGAGTTCAGTGGTGCAATCTCAGCTCACTGCAATGTCCACCTCCTGAGTTCAAGCGATTCTCCTGCCTCAGCCTCCCAAGTAGCTGGGATTACAGGTGCACACCACCATGCCTGGCTAATTTTTTTTGTATCTTTGGTAGAGATGGGGTTTCACCATGTTGGCCAGGCTGGTCTCGAACTCCTGAACTTGTGATCTACCTGCCTTGGCCTCCCAAAGTTCTGGGATTATAGGCATGAGGCACCGCACCTGGCCTGTTTTTATTCTTACAAGTAAATTAGAAGACTGTAGCTATAGGGTTAAAATCTGAATGGGATGTATGTAATTGATTAGCGTGTAGAGGCTTCTAAGCTCTCTTTCTCTCTGTCCTCCCCTGCCTACTTAGAATCTGCTGACTTTTTTGCTTGGTTACCTGCCCAGGATTCCAAAATAGCCTTTTTAAAAGATTCATTGCAAAGAGCTAATGAAAGGCTAGAAATGGAAGATATCCCCCACACCAAGGATGGTAAAACTGATGTAATTCCTACTGCTGCTCTCTAGCCTACTTTGCCTGAATATTTAGACTATTCATACTCTGATTTGCCTTTCTTCTGTGGAAACAAAAAAAAACCAAAACCTGAAACAGTTAAACAGTTTCCTTGTAGCATAAAACCACCTGAAAATTTAGGAGATAATCCTGGAGTGATTTACATTCCCTGGATAAAAACAGCTCAGGGCCATAGTTTT